CAAGAACTTTTTAATGAGAGAGCAAGGAGAGCGATAGAGCGGGAGCGAAACACCGATTAACTTTGATGTTACGCACCACGAAACGAGATAGAAACGAAAAGAGAGAGAGAGAGCGGGATTATAAACCGATTAACTCCGGTATAAGACACCTCAGAGAGATATTACCGTTGGAGTGCGTGCCGTTCCCACAGCGCCCAACGACGAAGAGAAAGACTGAAAAGGGAGGCAATAGAAAACAATAACAACAAACCAGCACCGAATTAATGATAAAAACTTTTTTTCTAAACACACGAAGCATCGCGAAGCGAACGGAAAGTTGTTAAAAGACACTTAAAGGTGTAGAAACGTTAAAAAAGATTTAAATAAACCCCGATGGTTTCAACAAGAAAAATTAAAATTCGGAGCGCAAAACAAAAACACGACCGTTCACTGTGATGAGCGAAAAGCCAAAAATGAAGTCGAAGTAATAAATTACTTTCAATTTCTCCGGATACCTTAACTAAATCAATGAAAACTAATAGTAAATTAATAGTATTAACACATACGCAGAATTCAAAGAAATTATTATTAAAACACTCAGAGAACTATTACATCCAGGAATAGAAAAACAAACAGCACTTTTTAAAGAAAAATATTATTTTCCCGATCACCAAAAATTAATTCAAAATTTTATTAATGAATGCGAAGTATGCAACATCGCAAAAACAGAACACAGAAATACTAAATTAGAATTCGAAATAACCCCAGAAATTTTTAATCCAAGAGAAAAATATGTCATTGATTTTTATATGATAGATAATAAACAATTTTTATCTTGTATAGACATTTATTCAAAATTTGCCACTTTAATAGAAGTCAACAGTCGAGATTGGTTAGAAGCAAAAAGAGCATTAACTAAAGAGAACTATTACATCCAGGGATAGAAACACAAACAGAACTTTTTAAAGAAAATAATTAGTTTCCCGATCACCAAAAGTTAATCCAAAATTTTATTAATGAAGGCGAAAATGCAACATCGCAAAAACGCAGAAATACTGAATAAGAACGCGAAATAACCCCAGAAATTTGTAATCCAAGAGAAAAATATTTCATCGATTTTTATATGATAGATAATAAACAATTTTTATCTTGTATAGACATTTATTTAAAATTTGCCACTTTAATAGAAGTCAACAGTTGAGCATTAATGAAGATTAATTAATTAAGAGCATTAACTAAAGTTTTCAATGAAATGGGTAAACCAAATCAAATCAAAGCAGGCAAAGATTCAGCAACTTTGTTTAAAATCTGAAGATGTTGTTATTGATATAACAATAAGCAAAAATGGAATTTCTGATGTTGAGAGATTTCATAAAAAGGTTAATGAAAAATTAAGAATTATAAACAGTGAAACAGACATTGAAAATAAGCAAACACAATTTGAAACTATTCTTTATGTTTATAATCATAAAACTAAACATAATACCACAGGCAGAACTCCTGCATATATTTATACCCGTTACTCGTAGAGTAAAAGGGTATATTGTATTCGTGCAAAAGTATGTAACAGCTAGAAGGAAGCGTTTCCGACCCTATAAAGTATATATATTCTTGATCAGGGTCACTAGCCGAGTCGATATAGCCATGTCCGTTGTTTTCATGTCCGTCTGTCTGTCCGTATGAACGCTGAGATCTCGGAAACTATAAAAGCTAGAAGATTGGCATTTTGCATGCAGATTCTAGGAGTTCCTACGCAGCGCAAGTTTGTTTCAAAAAGGTGCCTCGCCCCCTTTAACTCCCACAATCGCTTAAATACGATTTGAAAAATTTAAATATTTCGGAAAAGTAAAAATGCAGTTTTATTGTGTTTATCAATACCTATCGAAATGTAGAAGATATTTTTCAAATCGGACCATTCGTTAAAAAGTTATGCGTGATCAAAGTTTCTATCTCCATCTCCCTCGCACACCTGAGTAACGGGTATCTGATAGTCGGGGCACCCGACTATAGCGTTCTGTCTTGTTTTATTTTCGCTGGAACTCCAAAATATAATACACAGTCAAATAAAATCAATAAGATAAAAAAACGAAATGAATCACGAAATAAATTTGAATTTGATACTAGATATTCTAAACAGGAACCTTGGACTTAACAACTAATTACGAATATTATTGTTTAACCGTCAACTTAACTAAAACTGACCTAACGTATACTAACTTAATTAAACAATCAGAAGACTTTTTAGTCTTAAAACAAGTTTTATACTTAACAGAAAAATTAAACAAAGAAATGAATGGAATCAGAATTGCAAAAGAAGTCTTATAAATTTTATAAGCACAACATACAAATATTTGTTTGGAACATTAGATGAACAAGATAAAGAAGAATTAATAAATAAAATTGAAAATTTTGAACAAAACACAATTCTAGTTAACGAACTTAATAAGGTAATAGATGCGGTAAAACAAGGTATTGAAACAATAAATCATTTAAGCTTGGTCAATGATGTAGACAAATGGCTAGCATTACTTATTTTTAATCTACAAGAATTTACTGAATATATAGATGACATAGAACTAGGAATGCAACTTACTAGACTAGGCATTCTTAACCCTAAATTACTTAAGCATGGTACTTTAACACACGTTAATTCAGAAAAACTATTAATAATAAAAACCTCTACTTGGTTACAAACCAATACTAATCAAATATTGATAATTTCTCATATCCCAAAAGACATTACAAAAACTTCAATATTTAAAATTTTGCCTTACCCAATCGTCTTTGACTTTCAAAGTGAAAGGTTGTGTTTTTTTTCTGTTTAATACTTCATTTAAATTGATTAGAAATTCCTTTCGCAATGACAATTGAGCGACTCGTGTGAGCGCTGTCTAACAAATAAACCTTCACAAAAAATTACGAATGGCCATGCAAAACCAAAACAAAATGCTGCTGCGTCTCTTAGCATGTGAGCGTTGTTGCCTTCAGTTGTCCATGGGTCGAACTTAACCTCACTTATGCACGCGTCGACTTTAACCTTAATTGGGTCTGCTGCACATGCCGAATGTAACCTCACTGTGGCTTCTAGTGGGTTCTATGCTCAGGGACGCTCGCCATGTGATTCTCCGATCACTTCTCTCTCTGCGTTTAGGTTTTACAGCCCTCCCATGTTCGCTGCGTTACGCTTAGAGTCACCACTCAGGCTTCCAACTAGGGTCTGTTTTAACGCTAATATGGAACAAAATACTAAATCAGAAAACTTTCTAAATAGGGGCGCGGGGTGCGCGTTATGAAATATTCAAGGAGCCCAGAAAACTCCCCAAGAACTGTTGTTTTCCTTTACTTGCGGATCCGTATGGATTGCACTACTTCAGCTAAATAAACAAATGTATCAGCACTTTTACCAATACACGGGCTCTTTTACCGTAGGCGGACGTATAAACTATGATTACGCTTTTAAACGCGTATCGGTATCAAAACCACGTGCATTTTTTAAAAACTTTGGGTTTCGCTGGAGAAAAATCTAGAACGTTTGTTCTGTTCGCCGATCGTTGGAAAAGTAAAAAGTTTTCCCGCAGTGGCGTGTGTCTAGGTTTTAGCAAGCTGGAAAGTCTCGTACGCAAGTCGTAGGGTTGCGTTTCGATATTGGAAGTATGTTCCAATATTGCTAACTGTCGCAAGCTAGGTAGTTATAAATTTGATTTTCGCCCATTACAAAGCATATTTGTTAAGCGATGTATCAGGGATACAATAGCGGCTAGGTATTCTTCCTCAGTAACTATATAATTGCGCTGGGACCCGTTCAGTTTTCTTGAAAATAAGGCAATATGTCGCTTTAGACAATTCACTAACACTCCAATTTAAACAAATGCTTTTGTCAATATTTTTAAAGCTTAGTTTTCATTCATTAACATTTACGCTTTTATAAGTCAGTTTTGTAGTCAATTGGGTATTGGGTGTCTCGTTATTTAATATTTCATTTTATCTATGAAGCATGATAGTCCAATAATGTGGTTTTCAAACGTGTTAGAGAAAGGGGATAACTGTATCTGCGACCACTATATGTCGGTATTTCGCACGGTGGTTTCGACCTATGCTATTCGTTGAAATGCATTGCATCCAGCGTTCCGAGGAGTTCCTTTTAGAGCCGATTACGATAAGGTATGAGTTGGCATCTCAATTGTGCTTCGCATGGCATCCCAATGGCATTCCTAAAGGCATTCTTAGCGGCCCTGTACATTTATTCCCAGATAAAAACATTTCCAGCAAACATTATATAAAAAATTGTATCATTATATAATATAAAGCAAATAAACACCTGAGGGTGGGTTCCAATTAGGAATTATTTTTTTGCGGTAGACCATTAAATAAATTGGTGGTGGTTAGTTCAGCACCGAGATTGTTCTGAGGTAATAACATATATCTTCACATACATTCATGCGATTTTTTTTTTCTTTTTTTCTTTTTTATTTTTTGATCTAAGAAACACTCTGCTCTGACAACAGACACTTCAGAAGATAAAATTTTTTATCTTTTCGCTAGGGCCTGATGAAGGCTCATCAAGACTTCATTTCAGGTGGTTGGCAACGAGACGTAATTTTCTGGTATTTTTCGTTGATCATATTACTAGATTACGTCGATCTGAGTAATAGGCTCGAAAGATGGGAAACGTATAAACTCGCCAAATAAGTCAAAACAAACTTTTTTGGTTAAAAACTCTGGAAGACATCTTAATAACATTTTTAATTTATCGATTTTAAGCACAACTTTATAAAAAAATAAATAATATGAAAAATTAAAGAAAAAATCGATTACGGGTTATTGTGTTTTTAGTAAATTTGCATTTATTTATTATTGAAATGTAATGATTCCTTGACCTTCTGTGATACTCAGGAAATTTCATTTATATTGTGGAAAACTCTTTATTTTCCCAGAACCATTCTTCTGTCAGAAAGCCAGATTAAAAATCTTAATTTCCGGAACTACTCCATGACAAATGATTTTTGTTATCTTTTTCATAGAACCTATTACCAGTATTCCTGGAGGACCAGAGATTTACATTGATTTGGGTTCGACGGTTAATTTAACATGCGTGATAAAACACCTACCTGACCCGCCCATCGCAGTGCATTGGACTCATAAAAATCAGGTAATTTAAACAAATTTATAATTTGAATTGTTAACTGTTGTCAACTTAACTAAATAATGTTTGTAACACATTTTTTTGTCATTACTAAGGTATGCAGTATAAGAACCGATACAAAATACTGAAATCCTATATGTTTTACAAAGTTACCAAGGTCGATATTTACAAAAATAAATAAAGAAGATTTTTGGAAAAGTTTCATTAATATAAATATACAACTAAATGTCGGATTTGAATAAATAAATTTTGATAGTCTAAACTATTCAGATGCTCTGCAATGGTACACACAAAAAAATTTGTTTTTTTTTTAATTATGAATATTTTGAAAGAGTATTCACTTTTGTACATCACTGTTTGTCATTTGCCAATTGCAGACAAAACAATGTCAAGATTTAAATATTACCATATCGATTATCTAGGAAAATGAAGTTAAACCAAATTTGACTTATTCTAGGGACCGAACGTAATTATTATTTATGAAATGTATTTTTGTTGGATTTAATGACCTTTGATTAGTTAATTGAAGTTTTTGAAAAAAAGGTCACACGCTAGTTATGTTTTTCCTTTCTTCTATAACTCAACGTTTTTCACATAGCTTTCATCACACTTGCACTCACTAGGAAGATAATCCGACTATGATAGGACTAGCTAGTTTCGTCTACACTTCACACTAGACACATCAGCTTTCTACGCGGGTGGAAGCAGAGGGTCAGAAACTTATCTATGTTAAGAACAGAGAAGCTTTGCAATTAGCAGTTGCAACACTTTATTGATCTTTGTTACATAGATCGAGTTCTGTTGTTAAAGCTTGAATGTAACCCATTACACTTGAATCTAACACTATCACAGACACACAACTCAAAACAACTGTATAGGTACCAGACAAATATATATATATAATTTAAGGCTCAAGCATAATCACCTTTCGAATTAAGACTAATAAATATTTTTTCGCTCAAACTTTTTAAAATCTAATAAAAAGAAGAGCCGAAAATTTATAAAGTCAAAAATTTATAAATTAGAGATTTACCACTAGAGGTGTCATTAAAACATCTAAAACTAGCGAGCAGGAAGCCCCGTCAACTTTTTATCATTACATCCGGTAATAACTTCTTCATTCTCATTTGAGTACCAGTTCTCCACCACCTCACCTTAATAACATTATTAACACTACTGACGTAGGGTTATACGTTTTCTACCATCTATACACTCTAAATGAATTCATTAATAGTATTTAGGGCATTATTTTAATACTCAGGGAAAAATACCAGACTCCATACGGACAGATGTTGTTGCGGGCTAATCGTCAAAAGATTGAAGACAAAGCTAATATGGCAGTTATAGCTTCGGGTGCAACTTTAAATTCGGACGAGATCAGGGAGGCCCTATTATTACACTGCAAGGATAGATGAGATATAGATACTCTTATGACCGAATTACCTCATACGAGTATATAAGTTAATGAGAAAATAACCGAAGAAACCGTGCAGATTGCAATCAGGGTTAGGAAAAGCGCTAACCCTTTCAAATCATGCCAAAAATCATTCTTAATAGGCCTTAAAGGAACTTTAAGTAGTACTGTAAAGGCTATGAAACCTGAATTTTTGGGAGAGACTTACTATGTGGCAATCACGGACAGGAATATCAACTTCTCGGAAAATAATACTAATAGTCCCCCAAAACAGACCTCAAAATAGACAGGTAGATAGTTTCCACCCAAATCTATATCATAATATAAATAATAGTCTCTATAATCGATTTGAAAAGTCGAAGTACACTCCAAGAAATGATGACAACAACCGGTCTAATAAATATCCGTCCCTTATGCCTAGTGACGACGTCGCTAGTACTTCTAATGCCGCGGATAAAAATATTGGGGAACAATAAATTTAGGTCAGGATGTTAAAGAATGTTTAACATAACATAACGACCACACGCTGAACAGAAGTTGACGAAAGTGCATTTTCAGCTCGATGCCTCCCAACACAGACAGGATTCTTGAGTAAATTGAAGCTGGAGGAAAACTTACCATACAAGAGTAATAAGTCGAAGATCAACAAATAAGTCACTCGCAAAAAATAGCATTGTAAATGTCTTGTGCAGCCAGCGCCGGTCTTACATCCAGAGAGACAACTTCGGCATAAATCCCTGTCAAAATACATCTACAGCACTTTAGGAGTTTAAAACGTAATTTACGAAAATAAAAACACTATACCTACACAAAACATTTTAGTTTTATGCGCAAACATTTAAACTACCCAAAATGAATTGTGCAAAACTTTGTAAAGGTCGTGCAGACATCTAGCTCTTTTTGTTATTATTATATCTTCGCTAATGGAATTCCACAAGAAGTCTAATAAAAAACAAACAACAAAATTTATTGATATACAAAAATAAATAAAAAAACTTATTAATATTTCACTAAACTATTTTAAAAATTGCCAAATATTTTTTAGTCTTTCGAGGAAAACTTTCAATAATATTTGATGGTACATGATTTAAAACCGATAGAAATATATCACACAGTGGAAATCTATAAGCTAATTTCGAAAGTATTGCTAGGCAATGTAATTGTCTTTAAAGTCTTACTTGTAGTTAAAAATAATCTAAATGTTATAACAGAAAAACATAGGTCCATGTCCATGTTCTCTATTATACCCTTCAAACTCGAAGTTGAAGCGTAAACCAAATCTCGAACTATGAAATTAAATAAGTTCTAATTTTACTAGAAATATTCCTACTGTCGATAAGGTAACTTTTCGATTATTTTTTTTTTTTGTTTTTTGTCATTAAACAAAAGCCCTTCTTTTCGGCGGCGCATGTGATTTCCGCTCAAGGGGAACATCTGAAACCAAAAATTCCAACGGGATTAAGAAGAGTACAAGTTTGGCTCTGGCATGAACTAGGATTATTCATTTCGCACAAGAATTAACAAAATTGCGGACCTTTGAAACTTTTTTTTAAAAAACGACTTTTTTTTCATCGGTTTTCATAAATAGGCTATATTTTGAAAAAGTTTTTGAAATTTTCACTTGAAATTTTAAAGCAACATTCTTGAATAGTTATAGTTAAATTTAAAAAAAAATCGATTTTTTGAATCCGAGAATGGGGGGTCCCCTTAACGCCTATAAAGAATGATGTTAGTTTTGTCAAAATCGGACAACAATATCATATAGCTGCCATAAAAACGATGTACATGACACGATTGGAAACGTAGGGTGAATTAAAAAAAAACAACAACACATATCTTCTTCCACAAAAAGTTGAATAAAAAGAACAACAAAATTTATTGATATACAATAATATATAAAACAAGAATGGAAGTAAACTTCGGCAAACCCAAGTTTATAGACCTTGCCGTTATTACAAAACGACTACATTTCGATTTGTATGCCTAATATTACTAAAATAAAGCTATATCGATTTTGCGCTCCATTTTGACATCGTTTTTATGGCAGCGATATGATATTGTTGTCCGATTTTGACAAAACTAAAAGCGTAATTCTGATATATTAAATAATTACTATACCTTAAATAAATATTTTAATAAATAGAAAAAAAAATAATTTAAATAAAACCGTAGTTTCATAGTATTTAAATATTATCAAATCACAAAGAACAAACAAAAATTAAATTACTTTTTAAAATTTTTTATTCCGATTGTTCCTATGGGAGCTATATGGTATTGTCGACCAAACCGGCTCATTCCGACTTATATATTATCTGTAATAGGAAGACAACTTATAGGTTTCAAGCAGATAGCTTTAAAACTCAGGGAGAAGTGTTCATAAAAACGGACGGACGGAAGGACAGAAGGACAGACGGACATGGCTAGACTTCGACTCTGCAGGTGATGCAGATCAAGAATTTATATACTTTATAGGGTCTCCTTCACTTCGTTGAAAACTTTTGACTGAAATTATAATATCCTCTGCAAGGGTATAAAAAGGGTATTAATTTTTCACCAAACTATTTAATAAAATGATACTGTATAGTGCAAGGAGTGCTTGTTACGCGCGAAGCCTTATTCCCCCAAGGGCGTAAAAAACAAGATCGCTAGATCAGACTAAGTTAGAATACATACGAAACAAAATACTAATACAAATTTCGTGCTAAGTAAGATAAAAATTAATGCTTTTCGGATTGTCAAAGAGGCGGTAGTAAAAATAACATGGTATAGTCTACTATAGTCATTACAAATTACTCTAAACGGCTCATGCATAGATTTAAAGTAAGAGGAATATAGTTCCTGGTAATTCTATTAGGCAGAGACAAGTTTATGCGACCAAGTAACTCGGGACTCTCCACATCCCCGTGAATAAGTTTATGAATAAAAGTAGTGGTAAGCATCGTTCTACGGTTTAATAAGGATGGTAGAATATCTAGAAGAAGTCTACTAGAGATAAATAAGGCATTCCAGTTAAGACCCCGTAGAGCAAATAACAAAAAGTTCTTTTGCACAGACTCTATCCAGTCTATATGTACACCATACTGTGGACTCCAAACTGCTGAGCAGTACTCCAGGATTGGACAGACTAGTAAAATGAACAGAGTCTTTGTAACATAGGGATCGTCGAATTCCTTTGACCACCTTTTGATAAATCCAAGCACTCCCCTGGCTTTATTCACCATGGAAGTAATATGGTCTAAAAATTTAAGTTTTGGGTCAAGAAGGACGCCAAGGTCATCAACATGCGTGATTCTAGACAACGCACAACTACTCAGCGTCTACGTGGCATATTGTGGGTTCACCCTAAAAAATGTCCTTACTTTACACTAAGCGCTATTTAAATCCAAGAGATTTTAACAACACCATGTTTGAAAAGCATTGAGGTCCGATTGTAAGTCAGAACTGCTGGAAGTTTCGTTATATTGCAGACACAACTTTACGTCATCTGCGTACATGAGGACACGCGACTATGTCAAGACTAGAGGGAGGTCGTTAATAAATAATGTAAAAAGAAGTGGGCTCGGATCAAATCAGAGATCGAGTTTTTAAAGAG